ATATATATATATATATACACAGTGTAGTTTATCTACACCCCAACGCCAGAGCCATTTGTCGGCGGCTGTCCGACGTGTTGTGCTGCATCTCTCGACTGCCCAACTCATGCTCCAAGCACTCCGTGATGGTTTCAACCGGCGTGATAGAAACTCAACAAAGAAGTCGGCCCTAAACCCGAAACCCTCAACCCNNCCTCAACCCTAGACCCTAAACCCTCTGTCTTCTCGCCCAACTTCTGCCAGGCGATATGCCCGTGTGCATCACGGTGCTGAACTCCTACTCCGGCTGGGCACTGGTGGCCGAGGAACCCCGCAGAGTGTAGGGTGTGGGGTTTAGGGTTTAGGGTGTAGGGTATAGGGTTTAGGGTTTAAGGTTGAGGGTTTAGGGTTTGGGGTTTAGAGCCGAAATATATGGGCCTAAATAATTACCAATATTATTTTTGGCTCTTCCTTATGAAATATCATATAGTAGTCCCCAAAACCCTATTCTAATTGTCAAGGCCCCTAAAATAGGATCCCAAGCCAAAGAGGCCCCTCTCCGAAAAAAAGCCCCGAATCAGCACCTGAACCCTGGAATTTCCGGCTCTTTGCGGGGCCCAGACTCTCCGTAATCATGCTGACAGTCGCCTTATAGGTCGCCAAGATCATGAGAGTCTGGACCTCAGAAACCGCTACCCTCGAGCCCAGGAGTCTTCAATTTTATGGGCCTAGGCATGAAGCGGAGGTTTCGGGACGAAGTCTCCACAAACGTAGCCAGACCCCAGAAACAGGTATTCAGAAAGGGAGCGGCCCCTAAGTTCCACTTTTAGGGTTTTCCTCATCCAAATCATCGCTTTCTCCTCTAGTGTGCCACGCAGAGTCTCGCAGGGCTTCCTGCTGAAGAGCCCGGTGCTGACGCGCCTGGGATGATCGGTGTGGGGCTTTGGGGGGCGTCAGGTGCGTTGCTTAGTTTGCGTGTTTTTAGAGCTCCAAGTCAGGGATCCCGAAGACAGAGGAAGACAGGAGATGACCATCATGATGGGCATGATCATGGTCATTCTCACGATCGTGGCCATTGTGACAAGTCTTCTGACTGTCATGGCCAGTCATCATCATTATCATCACCACTATCATCACATGTTCCTGCTTTTCGACTCGAGCCCTCCTCCCCAAATGGCCGAGCACCGAGCACAACTACTTTGAGCAGCGAAAATAACAGAACTGATTTAACCTGGTAGTTGCAATAACAATTAAGTAATAATAGCGACACGTATTCAGAATGGTATTCGTAGTACTGTACTAATGTCAAATATATAGAAGTCTTACTAGTACTTGGAGTAACCACAAGACCCTAAGAAGATCTGTCTTTCGCCCGGTGAGAGCTCAGGATCGTGGGGTCCCTGATCGGCTTCAGCGGAGCCATCCTCACGAAGATCATGTGCCCAGGGATACGACTACGAGTACTACACGACCACGGCGACGACAAGAGTACTACTACTACTGCTACTACTACTACTACTACTACTACTACTACGACTACTACTACTACTACGACGACTACTACTACTACTACTACTACTACTACTACTATTACTGCTACTATGCTTCGCCTCTGCTACTACGGCGACGATGACGATTATGACGCCTGTCACGGTCATGCTGTGCAGCAGGAATATTCCTTTTAGTAGTACTGTTGTGCGTTTGCTTTCATGTTTGCTGCCCGTGGGGCACAAGCCGTGGCCTTAACTACGAACTGCAAGTCGTTGGGACCTATGCAGGTGCGTCAATTGTCTTCAAGTGGCAGAGAATAAGTCCCCAATCAGTGGGTCACCGGCCACGCAATTACACTATGCCTGTAGCCCACGACGTCGTCGTAAAGTCGAATCTAAATAACCCACTCCCATCTCGGCCGAAAGTCTTTGCACTCCTGTTGAAGCCTGTCGAGCACAGTGGCTCTGCTACCGCCAACATCCATGCACTGCTGGAGTTGAGACCGTGCACTCCAAACGCTAAGTAGAGCAAAACTATTCTAAACTCCGGTTGTCCTTTTCCCGAGTTCGCACAAATGAAGGTGCGATGCCATGAACCGAGACATCATGAGCCCAGACGATCATTATTTGCTGCGTGTGCACTGGAAGGGGCGGAGTTGTGGAAGCTGGTGATAAAATTTCTGCATCTCTCTCTCTCTCTCCCTCTCTCTTTCTCCGTGTGAGCAGAAAGGTGCAAAAAGAGGTAGGGTGATTAGAAGTTCGTCCTGAAATGCCGGTGCAAATCTTAGGAATGTGCTCTTCGGTGGCTACAACAGCACACCAGCTGCCACCGGTCCGCGCCCTGTGGTTCTATCCTATCCCCAGGCGTTGTAGGGGTTGGGGGTTGAGGATGTATGCTCACAAAGGGGCCTACATAATTACCAATACTATTTTGGGGGTTCATAATAAAAGTAGAAGGACCCCAAAACCCTATTCCAAATATTGAGGCCCCAACATTAGGGTTTCGGGGTAAGGGTACAACAGCAGGGTGTGGGGTCTTTTATGCTCCCAGCCATTCCCTGCAGTCTGTCAAGCATCATTCGAAGCAATGCTGAGAGCTGAACCCCAAACCCTGCCACTCCAAGCCCCAAAACCTACGATGCCCAAAGCCTAAACCCAAGACTCAAAGGCGAGAGCCCCGGCTTTAGGCATCATCCCATCGCCGGTTTGACACGTTGGCTTTAGGCTTGAGGGCCTTTTTGGTTTACGGCAGATTGCAGGGTCGGGCCGGGGGGGTACGGCGAGGAGGTTGGAGACTACAGACACAGCGAGGAGAAGGGTCGGTCCAGACAACATCCCTGCACCACAGCTGAGGTGCCGGTGACACTGGTCCCAAGGAGCATGTGGAAACGAGCCATGGTCTCGTTGAGATATGCTACAATTAGAATTGTTGGCCGTCTTGTCTATATGGGTAGTTTTCTAAATTAGGGTCCCGTTTTGGGTCCTTATTATAATACGGCACCTATTATTCAGGGTACCCCAAAAGGGACCATAATTTTGACAACTACGCATATAATATATTATGGCTTCTGCTAAGTGGTCTTCGCAGTCGGGCTTGGTTGAGAGGTATTGACACTTCAGGCATGGCAAGCAAGGAGACGCCCTAAACCCCAAAGCCCTAAACCCCTAAGCCTAAACTCCTTAACCCTTAACCCTAAACCCCTCAACCCTAAACCCCTAAACCCCCAAACCCAAACCTGTAAACCCTAAACCGATGATGAGTTTGTTGTTCGGACCTTGCACCTACATGCTCAGCACAACTCTTTAGGGGCCCAGGTTTTCGCATAAAGTTTGAAGGAGCCCTTGTAAGGGTACCATAGGGTTCGATAATAGGGTACTCGGTTATATTGTAGTACCCTATTCTAGCACCCTACAGTACCCTTATAGGGCTTGTGCTGCAGCACGTCTCTGCTTGTGGTTGGGCTTGGGAAGCAGCTAAGGAGTGTAGCCGCCGTGGCGGAGATGCTCGTGGGAGCCAAGGAGGCCCGCTTCGAGGATATACGGCTCTGGATTAGGGATTTAGGGTTTAGGGATTTAGGTGAATTTTCTAAGGGTTCTATTTCATTTTTTACAGGGCTTGTTTTTAATAAAAAAAAAATTGGAATGAAGACATACTGTAAATTACCAGCTTGGCATCTCGGTTTTCGAGCAGAACACACATTTTGATGGAAGTAGGACGAATAGGGAGGCTATCGTGCAGTGCCACAGGACTTTCAACGCAAGGCTGTGAAGACAATGTTGATGATGCACATCAGCCCTGGTATTTCGGCTTTGGTTTTGTGCTTAACATGTAGGATACGAACCTTGGGAAACCGTCCAGATATGACGCAACCCCAAACCCCAAAAGCCTTTGGTTCCAAAAGCCCCCGCCCTGTAAGCCTTAAGCTTCAAGAGACGAACAGCCCCAACCCCCTAACCCTGAAAGCCTACACTCTGAACCCCAAAGCCTTCGCCCTTAAGTCCTCCTTCCAGGTGCTAGTGGTGCCAGGATACGGCATGGCCATGGCTCGGGCTCAGACGCTGAGCTGTTTTGATGGTTTGTTTGAGGGTTATAAGGTTTGTGTGTTGAGGCTTTCAAGACAGGGTTTAGGGGGGTTTGGGGGTTCTGCGGAGACGGCTGAGTCGTGAAGACTTGGGGCTTAAGTTCTTGCAAGCCGGCTGCGGCAGTTCGGACGTCTGACACCCCATCCTAGCTTTAAACCCTCAGCCGTGAAGCGTCTTAGGGAAAAGCAGGGCCTACAAAAACTAAACACAGCCCAATGCCCAAGCCTTACCCCCAAATCCAGAGCCCCATGCACTTACCCCTAAGCCTTACCCCCTAAGCCCTAGGCCCTAATCTCCAAGCCTTTTAAAGTGCCAGGTCGTTGCCCAAACCTCTACCCTAAACCCTAAACCCTAAACCCTAAACCCCAAACCTCTTTTGAACCCAGGACTGCCATGGGAGAGCTGGCAAATGCGCTTCGAGCCAACAATGTCAACATGAAGTTCGGCCACCTGGCGCCAAGAATCTTGGGAAGTCAGCCGGTTATAGGTAGTATTATTAGGGGTACCCCTTAAAGGGTACCCTCTTAAAAGGGACCTTATTGAGAGGGTCTATATCCCCAAGGGTCCCCCTAATCCTAGCTCCCAGGTTAGGATTTAGGGGAATAGGGGGAAATAGGGCTTTGGGGTTTAGTGTTTAGGGGAATAGGGTTTTTCAGGGTTTAGGGTAGCGCAGATGAGACAGGCAAGGGATGCTTCAGAACACCGAAGAGTACTTATCTGAGAACAGTTGGCAATTAAGTGAGACTAGTTAGCAGCAAGCAGCACCAGCCGAGTATTCGGACTCCAGTGGTCTTTGCAGTCAGCAGCATTGCTTCAGCGTTGTTCCTCTTAACGAGCAAAAAATACTCAACTACCCTATTCTGACCGTTCATGCCAGTTTCTCCCAAGCCTTGAACCCGCTTGAAGAATGCAGAGCCGAGCCATCCGCGCCTCGTCACCGCGATAATCACGGATAGTAGTCAGTCTTCCTTACAATATTAGGCCCGAAGCGCATTCGAAGCAAGAAAAGCCTTCAGCTTGTCCGTACTTACCGGGCTCTCGATTGAAAGCCATCCGTGGAGCTCCATGCATCTTGTGTCGGGCTTCTGCCACCCCGAATCTCGAAGCTCCACGGCCCGGGCCATAGTCAGCCTCTTGCCCATCTACCCAAGCCGAAGGCCTGAACCTCAAGCCTCCAGAGGCCTTGATATTTAGTAATAGCTATAGTAGCTATAGAAATCAGTAGGGTGTTGGGGTATAGCCATAGTACAAGCAGACTAGGGGCGCAGAAGTACGTTGAGAGTGCAGCCAAAGCATGAGAGTGCCTTTCAGCCTCGAGGTGTTCACCCTGTGGCCGGACGCATGCCCGGGCAGATGAACGTGCTCTTGGCAGAGGCCAGTACAGTGTTGTAGGGGTTCTGCTGGCCTTAAGCTTACAGGGTCTTACAAGTTGCGTTTAAGGTTTTCGATGCGGAGTTTGGGTTCGGGGGTTTTGGGTCGTTCCGGAGAGCCATGGGTTTGTTCTGAGTCGAAGGACTTGTCGCCGTCCATCCGGTCGTGATTGTTCATGAGACCACAAACCGCATAATAACCCAATGGAGCCTCACTCCCACCCCCCTCTGCCTGCTCGATGCCGGCAGGCGGGCGTGCCCCACGAGTGGGTGCTGGAGATGGACGAAGTGACCTTTGGACCTGATAGGGGAGTTTCCGAAAATTAGGGTACCTTATTTTGGGGTCCTTATACTAAGGATCCTATTAGTTAGGGTACTATATTAGGGTCCCCTATTTTCGGAACCCCCCATAAGATGCCATGTTACACTCTGTTTTTATACAAAAGGTATGCGATGCTATGTTTTGCTAGACTATACTTTCATGTGGACGAGTTTCGGGCATTAGGTTTACAGCCAGTGGCTTTGGGCCATGGCTTCATTTTCTGAACCCGGAACATTTAACCGATAGCCCCGAAGCCCCAAACCCTCAAAATATCAATTTGAGTGAAATCCTTCGTTGAGCTTGAGTGTTGGGCACATGGTAGGAACATGGTACTAACTCGCATTGATGCGACCTTCAAGCAGAGATTGCATGCCAATCTCCTGCTGCGGTAGAGAAGGACAAGATAGATCAACTGTCGGCGTCTGCGCTGTTTGATTCATTCAGGGGTCCGCTTGCTAGTCTAGACTCAGCAGGGCTTGAACCGGAGTTGCGGGTCGGGGAAGCTTGAAGCAGCCTGTATCGCTGTTTCTTCTGTCCAGCCTCAACTGCCATGGTTGTTCGGTTCCATCGCTCTCTTCAGGCTGTAGGCTGTGGGCATTTCGCCTTAGACAGGCTTTGGGCTTGGCTCTGGATGCTAGGAATCCCGACATGGAGAACAACGATGTCGTGCTGGTAGTTGGCGCCAACGATGTCGTGAACTCGGCAGCGCAGGCGGCCTTCACGTGTTGTTGCGGCCAGACTAATCTCAGAGGAAAACAGAGAGGGGTAAGCCGAAGCGGAGGGAGAGACGACCCCCCGACGAACTTCGCCGAACCCCCCTTTTGGTTTACTTATTCCTATTACTATTAATACTTATTCTTATTATAACTACTATTGCTACTACTAATTAATATTATTAATATTATATTAATAATACTATATTAATACTATTATTAATACTATATTAATACTCTGAATACTACTACTACTACTACTACTACTACTACTACTACTACGACTACTACGAATACTATTAATACTATTAATACTACTAATACAAATCATACAGTTAATACTAATATTACTACTATTATTACTGCTATTAATCGTATTAATATTAGCAATACTGTTAATTAGTACCAGACATCCGGAATAGCTCCAGGATGTGAAATATAGGGGCCGTAATAAGTAGAAAAGGATATGGGGGTATATTATACTACTATTATTATAATAAGGACCCCCAAAACCCTATTCTGATTATTAAGGCCCCTACATTATGTGGTAGGGCGTGCTTGGGTAGTTCAAGCTGATTCAGTCTTGGGCTTGCCCCATGCGTCCTGTGTGCAACTACACCCCTTGGAGGAGATCGAAGGCTGCGCCATTTGGGGAATGCCGGTGATCGAAGTTTGGCGATCAAAGAAGGTGATCTTCTGCAAGCGGTCAATGGGCGGAGGCTGGCAGAGCCGCAGTCTCCCTAAGCCAGGGGAGAATGTGAATGGTAGTCTCCAGTCTAAAGGCCACGACCTTGAATGCGAATGTTGTTTGTGTTTGTCTGCTGTCCAGCAGCAACATTCCGCGCACTCACTCACCGAGCGCTTTCAGTTTGTATCCGTTCGAAGTCCGGTCAAGGCTATGCGGACCTTGACAACCCCGTCTTCTACAAGGTGCGCTTCGGAGGGGTTGGCACAGTGTAGCACGCAGGGTGGAGCGAGACCTTCTGCATAAATTCTGTTTCGCATGGCATCTCCGACCTAATTGCGCTGAACACTTCTGATGATGACGAAGTGGTGAAGCATGACACATGATGACATACTGTTCTTCTTGTAGCAGAACTCACCGGATTCCACCCCACCCCGAACCATTCCTGGGCTTCCAGGCTCAGCCCGCAACACACGGGACAAGACCTTGGAGCCTAAATTTTTGCCAGGAGAACACCGAGATGCTCCTGGGAGATGCGAAGAAGACCTCCGACTCCCTGGCTGCCATGGTTAAGGAAAGATTCGAGAAGGTCTAGGAGATGCCTCGGAGGACAAAGGGGGATGGGTCGGGATGGGGGCAGCGGGGTGCAGGATGGATTGATGACCGTGAGGTGACGACAAGGAGGATTATTGTACTGGCGTTTTTGCTGGCGGCTGACGGTAATGGCGACGAGGATGAAGATACATCTTACGAGCACTGCAAGGTGTTACAGGGGCTTCAATGCAAGTACCACCACTGCAGCTGGGACTGCGACTGCGACTGCGACTGCGACTGCGACTGCTACAGCTACTACTGCTACTGCTACTGCTACTACTACTGCTACTACGACTACTACTACTACTACTACTACTACTACTGCTGTTGCTGCTGCTACTACTACTACGACTAGCACTAGTACCACCAATGCTAGTAGCATTATTGGTTAAGTTGAAGACACAGTTCTTTAGTATCCCAACCACAAGGAAGTGCAATTTTGGAGGCGGTTTTCCGATCATTATGCAACATTTCATGCCAGTGATCATCCACTGGTTCACCAAGCTACTACGACTACTACTACTCCTTCTAATTGACGGAATTGTTGTTATTATTTTATTGCCACTACTACGACTACTACTACTACTATTACTACTACTACTAGTACTACTACTACTACTACTACTACTACCACTACTTCTACTACTGTAGCTACTACTACTACTACTACTACTACTACCACTACTACTACTACTACTGCTGCTGCTGCTACTACTACTACTACTTGTACTACTACTACTACTACTACTACTACTACTAGGAGGGGGGAGTAGCAGGAGGCTTCCCCCTTTACCGAAAGTTCCCAATCTCCTGCCGTAGTGCGGTGGCTGGCACACCGAAGAGTTCACCGGCCTTGCTGTCAAAACAGGGTGCCTGAGTGTCTCTTCCAACCTCTGCCGCAACCGAAGCCCGGTCCTCCTTAGTATTACATTCCTACGGCTGCTGAGTGTGCACCAATGCCGGCACAAGCCCATGTCATGCCACAGCTCGTATTGCTGAGTACGATGTGGCTCGAGTGCAGGCAGAAGCCTAGGTCGGTTTCTGCCGCTGCTGTGTTGGGTAGCACAGCACATTGTGCTCGAGCCTCAGGCACCTGTTTCGCTATAGACGTCTGCTTCATTCGTTTGAGCCGAGTGCTGCTCAGCCGTGTGTCCTCCACCAGCTCCCTCTCCGGCTCATCTAGGTCGGTGTGCCGGTTCTAGGCTAGGTGCCTAGACAGCAAGGCTCCGATCCCCCATGGCGCAGAAGATTGATCTGCCGCGACATGTGCAGTATGCTGCTCTCGAGGAAATGCTGTTACTACAGGCACTTGTCAATCTTGTGGGGGATGACCAACGGCTGAAATCGAGCTCCTCGCTCTACACCCGCAATGAGCTTGTCTATGCGGCGTTGCGGCTGCTTCCTGAGCCTCAGCGTGATGAATTCCTGAACTATGCGGATCGGCTGACCAGCAGCATTGTGACCGATATCCTGGTCAGCTTCCCCATGCCTATCTCTGAGCCAGTTGGAGATTCCAGTCGCGCCGAGCGCCTGGCCTACGACTTTTTGATGGAGGGCAGGGGTTCGCTCTGGTCTGCGGCCAGCGAAGTTGCTCGGGATTTAACCTTTGTCACGGACAAGCGCGCCGTAGCTTCTGGTGCCACGTTTCGGCTT